GTGCAACAAAGGCTGATCCTGATAAGGTGTTCACAGCTTGTTCTAAAGATTTCATAGATTTACCTGGATTGGGTTGAACCTCTGAGAAAGGTATTATATTAGAATTTGTTTAAATACTTCAGGAAATTTCTTCAGCACTGATAAACAGTGTTTATTGGAATCCAGCAACTTCATTTTGACACTCTTTTCTATATTTATCTTTTTCTATTTGTTCCATAAACTCTGAGTATGAAATTTTAACTTTAGAGGCTTGTCTTATATCCTTTTCTATAAAGTCAAGTCTAGATTAATAGAGAAGTTCAGTATAAAATTTAACTAGCTTGTTACTTGACAGGGCCATCTCCACCACACAAACGAAAAAAGAATTTAAATGCTCTTTTACCTGCATTTCCTTCCTATTCTCACAATTCATTATAAAGGAGACAGCTACTACATATTTTCTCTACCACACAGCCTTTTTTTACATTAGACAATATTTGTTCTGCTTTAACAGAAGTAGCAAGCAAAACCACTCATAAAACTTCCTTCCTGCCAGTGATATCATAGTCTAACATAACCTATGCTGGGAAAGATGTCCTTCACTTGGGTTGATAGAGGACATCTACAAGAATGTGTCCAGTAGGTCTATTTTACATGCTTACAGTAAAGTGTACAAGGATATACACAGAGTAAAGAAATAATGCTGCAAACAACATGAACAGATTTTTTTTTAATTAAATATATGTATATTTATATATTTAAAAAGTTCACCAACTCCTTAAGAGTCAATACCTACTTTAAAACTCAACTTGAAGTTGAAGGGGAAGAGACTACCACACAAGAAAAAGCAAGCTCTGATATTAGCAATACAAATTGTTCATTTGGCATGGTGATGACAGGCTGATTGAAGAGTGACAGCTATCCAGCCACCAGAAGGAATTTATATTCTTCCAAGTAGCATGCTGAGTATGAACAAATTTCCATACGATGAACATTTTCAAATGTGTGTTCAAGCATAAAGTAACTTGGATAAAATATTAATCCCATAGGTGAGAACTGCTTACTAAGCACTATTCAAAGGGAATCACCTCTCTGCATGTGGGCAACATCCATAAATCTATATAGTATTTTATTTATTTTTAGCACAGACATTGCCTAAGCGAGTGATTGTAATTCATGCAAATATCAAAGTGGGAAGCATGCAGCTCGCAGAGTGTGCATTACCAGCAGTTGCTGCTTTCCTCTCAGCTTCACTAGGAAGATAATATTCCTAAGATTTGGTACACAGCAGTATAAAAATTATGCTACAGTGATACAAAATGACAAAAGGTCTATTTTTACCTGTCTATGGAAAGAAAACAGAGTCATGAACATGGTCATCATAATACAGTCAAATAAGTGTCTTGTGAAGAACTGTATCAGGTTTTTCTGTGAGGGGTTTTTGGTCGTGTCTTTGGTAACAGGGGAAGGGCTATGGAGATGGCCCTTTAAGAAGCTACGTGAAAAGCTCCCCCTTTGCCTTTGTCAGACCCACCTCTGACCAGGGCCAAGCCAATCAGCACCTCTGCGAATTCATGGATTTAAGGGGGGTGCAGGGCATGCCTCTCTCTCTCTCTCTCTGGTACCGGCCCTGACCAGTGCGGCCCCAGGTGCGGGTGGCGCAGTCCTGGCCTTGCCCAGCTGGGCTTGGCCGGCCCCGACCAAAACTTAAGCTTAAGCTCCGCTGCAGCTTTCATCCCGAAAAAAAGAGAGAGAGCGCCAGGATCTCCATAACCATTGGAGGAGACCTGCAGCAGAGGAAGGAGTGGGGCCCAAGGAGAACAGCTCTGAAGAACACCAAGGTCAGTTTGAAGGAAAGAAAGGAGAGGGAGGAGGAGGAGGATGCAGAACCCAGGTTTCCCCTTTGCAACCTGTGGCGAGATCCAGGTCGACTGGTGGTGTGTGAGGGAACTGTGACCATGAGCAGACCCAGATTGGAGTTTTGTGGACTTTTTCCCCTAGGGAAAGGGGGCCACGTGGAAGCAGAGAGAGACACTGGGCTGAGGTTATTTTTCTCCTACTCCTGAGAAGCACGTGGTGGCAAGACCGACTGCAAACTCCCCCTCCCATTCCCCTACGCCTCAAGGCAAAGGGAGAGGGGGAAGGTGAAGGAACCGGGAACAAAAGCTGAGCCCGGGAAGAAGGGAGGGGTGGGGGGAAGGTGTTTTGATTTTAAGATCTGGTTGCATCTCCCATTGTTCTACTCTGATGTTGGTAACAAAATTGTTTTTTATTCCTTACGATGAGTCTGTCTTTTGCCTGTGACCTTTTAAGTGGTGAGAAGCCCTCCCAGTCCTTATTTTAACTAGCCCTTTTTTGGGGCATCGTGGTGCTCAGTTATGCACTGGGCCTAAACCACAACAAGAATGCATTTTTAAAATTATAGAGGAATACTGCACAGCACTAGACATCATATAGAGAGAAGACCAACTTGGTGGCTCGCCTTCATTTTCACTTTCTATCAACTCTAACTGAATCAGCAGCAGAACAGCTATCAAATACACAGGGTCAACTCCTCCCAACCTTTAGGGATAGAAAATACTAAAGAGAAGAGATGTAGTGCCCTGAAATCTCTAATCAGAAGATGATGTGGTCGTTCACCACCCAAAAAGCACACAAGCAGTGATATGGTTGAAAATGCAGAAAAAGGAAGACCAGAGAGTGTGTTGAATGCGTGTAAGACTACTTTACATATGACAGTGGTTTGAACAGGCTCATCACATAAGCATAGGTTCATGAATCTATATCCCATTTGGAATAATTCTCACTGTGAGGAATGCTGGATCGCAAACCCTCCCTGTGCTGAGGCTAACACCAATGGACTGGTCTACATCTCAGTTACACATACTTCCAGTTCCTACATTAAGCAAACAGGAAGTTACGTATAGGAAGCTCTGCAAAGTGCAGACTGCTAAGGAGATCCCTTACATGACCATAATGCAATCAAACAAAAGCTGTGGAGTGACATTCCTCTTCGCTACAGTGTGGTGCTAAGGTGGTACTTCAGTTTTAGACAATTACTTTTAGTTGGCTGCATAGTTTGAACACTAAGTCCAGTATCAATTTTAAGATAGTGCCTACAGCCCAGATCAGTGACACAGATTCCAGTGTACCAGGGACTGAGTACATGCAGCTAGAAATCAGTATCTCAAATACTCAAAGCTAAAATACACAGCTCCAGTAACTATATTTTTTTTTTTTTAAAGCTTGCTGTCAGAGTAAATGTTTGGAAGTCAACATGCCAAAGACAGCATTAGCTTTTTTCCAAACATCAAGTATCCAAACAGTTGACTCGCTGGCTTACAAGACACCATTCTACCCACAGCAGCTCTCACGTTTTGTAACTTGGGACAACTTCAACCTACCAGAACCACTGGACCTACTGACACAGTTTCAAAGGCAACACACTGGTCTTCAGAGCTGAGACACTGAGTCAACTAGGATTTTCTAATAAAAGACAAAACACCATCCCACTGCTGTGAAAACACCTGCCAGATCTAATAGCATTAAGAGAAAGAAGGTATTAAAATGGTAATCAAACGCATTATATGATTTAACATGTATTAGAGCAAACAACGCTAGAGTTGTGTTGCTATTGGTAGTCTTTTTCTTCTGTCACGATAAGGCATTCCAGGCCACAGAAGTCACAAATCATTGCTAAAAAGAGACTGCAGACCTTACAATCTTACAGGTATTTCAAAAAGAGATGAGAACTGAAGGTGTAAGCAGGTATTACATCAGAGAGCAAAGTGGCAAAAAACCCCAACAAACCACAAAAGGAAGGTGGTAAAAAAAGGGTTTCACTAGAGTATGGGATTTTTTGACTGCAGATTACTTGTAAATCTGAGGAAGGTGCCTAAGAGAAAAAAGGATAGTCAACAGACTTTGAATTGCTATACAGAGGTCAGAAAAAAGTCCCTGAAAATTGCTGTGGTAGACAGAATCGGGAAGGTCAAACCCCACTAAACCAGAAGAAGCCACAAGACATTTCCCTTGTTAAAAAGGGAAAGAAGAAACCATAGCACTCCTTTAGTAAAAGAATTTAATTCTAACTGTGTGACAATATGCAGAGTAATAATCAGGAAATTCCAGTTTCCAAGCAACCCCCTATGCTTAAAGAAAAAGGACTGAAAATATTCTAGGAAAAAACCCCCAAACAAACAGAAAAGCTAGCAGTACAGGCACCAAATACAGAAATATGCCTTTTCTGATTAAGCTAAATATTTCCAAATTGAAAAAAACCTTCAGGAAAAATAAAAAAATGTAGTTATCAGAATTGTGAAAATAATTTTTAACCAAGGAAATTCTTTATGTATGAGGCTCCCATTGGCTAAAGTAACTCACTAGTAACAGTGAAATTTTGCACAAGTAGCCCTAAAAAAGTAAAAACCTGTAGAAAAACAGACTTTCAGCATTATTCTAGACCAGCAATAGTCTAATTCTAGACAACTTAGAGGCAACTGCTCTCCAAATCATTAAGTTTTATTGATTCCTATGTGGGACACATCACAGACAGAGAACCCTCTGTAAAGTGCCATTAAAAAAAGCATGCAAGCTTAGATTCTGCTATGACTTAACATTTGAAAGCCCCACCATAACAGCCAGTTGTCAGGCTGCTTAAATATCCTTCAGGTACAGATGCTTTGTTAAATTCTAGACCTTTCATTATATGTTAGCTTTTCCTTCTTCAGAAAGGTTTGAAACAGATTGCTCCTAAGACCTTACCGATCCTTCCTCACTTCAAAACAGCCACATCCCCACTGCAGCTGAGGTGTTCCTCACCGGATGAGGTGTAAGCTGAAGGAAAATGTATTTTCAGAACTGTTGGCTTATTTCTCTATATTGCAAACATGTAAACATCATTAGAGAAGAGGCTGTTTCAAATAGCATCACTGCCAAGAGCTCTTTAGCAATAGTTTATATGGCAAAAGAGTACTCAGGCAAAAAAAGAATTACAGTACAAGAGATTATGTTTTATTTACCTTGATGAGTCATTGTCACAGGTTCTTCACTGGATATATTGTTGTAAATGACCACGGCTGTGGCATTATGTGAAGCTGCTCGCAGTATTTTCTCTCTAAATGTACAGTTTCCTCGCTGTAGTAAAGCGATCCACTGCTTGGTGTTTGGTGGAACTTGGAAACGTGTTCGAGGGTCACAGCCCAAGCGATCTGCAACTGAAATGGGAAAGACACTTACACAGGATTGAAAGTTGTTCAAACTAGCAAAAAAGAAAAAACCTCACTCCCAAGCTTTGCTGAATTACTTAACTGTTGTGCACTAGGAAGGCACTATCCTCTTGTTAATAAAGCCCAAAGTTAACTACATCTTATGAAAAAAAAGTCTTTAAATAAAACATCTTGCACATTGAAAGCTGTGACTATCTGCTTGAGAACTAGGCTCACTAACACAAGCTATTTTTAACTCTAGTGCAGCTAGAACAATAAATTTACATTTGAATCAATACCTGCCGAGAGGCTGAAAAAAACATTAGAATATGGTTCATATCCTATAGGCATTTATGAAACAGCTGTTTATCAGTCCATCTGGGCAGTATAACTTTTTTTCTTTCTAATGCAGTCATAAATATCACTGCAGTGGGAAGTATAACCAACCAAAGGAGTCTCTGAGAACAAGATTTCAGAATGCTCTGCCATGTGCAGCCTACTGTAAAAAAAGGACGATATTAAAAGCTGATCTTGTAAAACCCCAGCAGCCAACAGCAGCTTTTTCTGTACGCACACATTGTCTACAAGGAAATGCATTCAAATTCACAGCAAAACAAATGGGTTTTGCAAACATGATGCAGTCAAGTTGTCAGCTAAACCGGTATCAATGCTGTAAAGGAAGAGTAACAGAAATGGCAAATGCCAGCTGTCTGAATTCAACAGCATGCAAAGCTCTTCTTTTGTCCTTTCTGGTGCTATAATGCATCCTGGAACAACCCAAACTCCCACAGAGCTATGTACAAAAGGCACAAAACACAACACAGAAGATAACTTCACAGTACAGCAGCTGAAGCTGATGAAAGATATTTCTATTTACACAACTGGAAACACGCAGCTTAGTCTGATACACTGGTGGTATCATTAAAGGATATTAGAAATTCAGAGCCAACAGCTACTTACAATACAAACGTATTTACCCTTTCAAATGCCAAGAGTATATTTGGCTACTAAAAATGGTTGGGATAAACAGTGATTTTTCATGACATAAACAAACAATTTATTTGCATAACAGCCCTGAAAACATTACAGATCATAAACACAATTCAAATGAATTGTCTCATAAAATGGAAAGTGAGTTCTTCAGCACAGACTGCAGGATTTCAGCAAAAGGTCTACCCCAAAAACCACCCAGTTTAACATATTAGCTGGAAACAAAACAAAAGATCTTTTTAAGCATTCTCAGCTTAACATAGCTCATGTTAAAACCTGTAACAAAGGAGACTGAAATAGCTAAAGGCTCTTTTCTGAAACAAGAAAGAAAATCTTTTGCCTGCCTGAAGAAAAACCAGTGCAGATGAATCTATATTGTGGCAGTCGTGCAGGAAGTCATTGCATCTCTTAATTTGGACAAGAAGTGCCTCTCCCTGTTCCCCTGGAAGGAGGGTGGGGAACCAGATAGAAGCACATCCTTTTCGCAATTGTTTTTCAAGGCTGTATGAGACATTTCAGACATGCAGGGCTATTTGCTGTGGTTTGGTATTTGTGCTTTTGTTTTATACAGGGATCAGGGAAAATCTGAACTGTAGATGCCTGAAGCCAAATTTTAGAGTGTTTTCCTCCATTTCCTTGACATTACTACTCGAATCCCTTTGGAAATTGCTAACCACACAAGTTGCTTTGGAGCACTGGTGACAGCCATCATGAACAGCAATGATCACAGGAGTGCACTTTCTTATTGACTGCACTTTTGTAGCTTCTCTTTGTAGCCTTAAATGTAAAAAAATAGTACATTTTTTGAAGGGAGTCTAGTCCTTTTTGAAAATGTGATAGAACAGTAACACTGCACATGTGCAACCAACCTTGATGTCCTCTGTTAAGATAAAAGCGGTTTACTGTTTAATGCACACTTCCCCCTTGTTCAAAACACTTCCACTTAAAAATGCAGGGGGGGGGAAACACCAGCAGACTGTGATAGGAAGTTTCTCAAAGCCTTCAAAGCTAAAAAATCCCATCCTTCTCCAGTGAAATCAGATTCAGTGACCTCAGGTGTGATACATCCTTTGAAAAATACCATTCAATAAATGGCCACAATTCCACAGAAGCTCCTCAAACTGCCAAAATTAACTCTGAAAGTAGACACTATGTACTTAAAATATATGTGATGGATGAAAAGCAGTAATCCTATGGATTACATAGAGCTTGCTTCAGTACAATCATGTTCAAAACTAAAACATCAAGTGAAAACAAAAATGGCCACAAAAATAAGGCAATGGGCTATTAGAATGAAAAATCATAAAAGCAAGAGGGACCTTGAAAAGGGAGGCAGCATTCTCAAAAGTCTGCTATATAATACAGTTTTACAATAATTTATGTAGGCACCTTTAAATATGTATGGGCTTGAAATTTTTAGCTTAAAAACCAACAGAGAAAGTAGTAAGAGATAACAGAAACTGCATCTGTGGGAAAAGTAGTACAACATTTCTACCACTGTAGAGATCAAAGTCTCTCTCAGCTGTGGACTGAGCTATGCAATGCTACTGGATAAAGCAACAGGATTAGGAAACAAGATATTAAGAGATAAAAGCTTTCCAGATATAGACCAACAAACACCACTCAAATGCATACAGCACATTATTCCTGACCATGGTGAATTCAGTATGTCCCAAGGAAAATTTAACAGCCAACAACATTACTTTAGCACTGTTTAAGTAATACAAAAACATTAAGTAAAGCCTGGTTGTTTTAGATAAACCAGAACTGAGTAACTGCAAACCACTTGAGATTCAAGGAAAAGTCACAATCCACTTTCTTTACATTATCATCCTATTTACACCACACAAATGCTAAGTAGTCTTTTAACTAAATAAAGTTCAGGAATAGTGGAAAGTCTTGAGTTTTTCTGCTTGTCTTCTCAGCAGACTTAATACACTCCAACATGAGAGAAAGTCTTGCAATCATGGTCACCTTTCTAACACGGCGAGCTGGTTAAAATAAAACAACTGCTATACACCTAAGGTGCCAGGCACACTAGTTGGCATTGTGAGAGACAGATAAACCAACAGTGTCAGCAAGAATTATCAATAGCTCTCCATTATCACACCATCTATGCTCTGTTGTCCAAAGTCCAATTAGGACCTAAAAGACTGGGGCTTGCAAGTATTACCTGGATGATGTCCAAGCCAGAATGAAAAGCATCTTCATATTAAATTAAGGTTATTCTAAAACAAATCACTTGCACATAAAAAGATATGATCTGAAGTCACTCAGGTAATTTCATAATTTCAGAAGCTATAAGCATACAGAAAGCTGTCTCAGTATATTTCCCTATAGGTGTGCTACTCTTCTGGCTAATTTGAAATAAGTTATTTACTCTGCTTTTCCTTTCTCCATATCTATTCACGTACCATGAATGTGCTGGAAAAAACTCAATTTTCTATTAGGAGTGGCATCCTGCTGGGTCAAAGAGCTATGTACAACATTGTTGTAAATATCTTCCTTCCTACCGTAAAGCCCCAGCACCACAGTAGCGCCTCATTACAGAAGGATCAGCTGTGATTTAAGTATCTACTGTTAGGCTGCATGTTTGTTCTCAACTTTAGGAGAGCTTCAGTTTCCTGTTGCACAACACACAGGACTGCTCAACTTGCATATAACCATTTCTCTGTAAGCATTTTTTTAAATTCAAGA